CTGTACAAGAGACCATTGTAAAAGGTGTGGATGATCAACCATTCTTCTAGACCGTAAAGTGGACAATGTCGCAACATGTCTTTGTATCTTTCCCATGCTTCGAAAATAGATTCACTTTCCTTTTTTTTAAAACCATTGATATTGGCTCTTAGCATAGTTGTCTTACTCGGTGGAAAATATTAGCGCTAGGAAAACTTTCTTCAACTCATTCCATGTGGTAATAGAGTTGGATGGTAGAGACTGGATCCAAGCTCTAGCTCTATCTCATAATAAGAAAGGAAAAAGAAATAGTCTTATTATTTCATGGCTGACACCATTTGCTTTCACTGTGTTTGTATACTATACAAATATTGATAAATGAAAGTTCTGATCATCCGTAGGACATCCTGAAAATTGGTTTTGTTAGACCTCTTGTAATAACGAAGGTTTTAACTCAAAATCGTTTCGAGCGATGGTGGGAGCAGAAATACTATTGTGAGGTTCCTCTTGCGATAGGGCAGCATAATCCTTCAGAGGACGATTTTGGGGTCCTTCAGCCATACTAGGTTCAGGAAGAGAATAGTTAGGAAGAGTGGTTTCGGGAGGATTGTACTTAATCTGATATTCTCTAAAGCAACGAGTGGGCCTGCGTCATAACGATAAGGTCATCAAACGCGAGTTCATGATCGACAGCCTGGTATTACGTAGAAACCAGAAAGACTCTCGCAAAGGGAAACTGGCCGAACTGGGAAGGGCCCTATCGCGTCCACGGTGCCACAGGCACCGGGGCATATTACCTCGAGCAGCTAAATGGAGAACCATTACCACGACCCTGGAACGCTGCTAAACTAAAGCAATACTATAGCTAAAACCCTTAAACACTAAGGACTCTCGTCGTCGAACATCCACATCTAGTCAACAGATAGAAATGTCTCGACCACGTAGATAAGCCAAGGTACATGCCCAATCTACACCCAAACGACATAACATTGTTCAACCAACGAGGATGAGCGATGATGCCCGACAGGGACACCTCAATCGAGCTCCACTGTCAAAGTACCCACATGGAAGAACACCCAGCTCGCGATGGGCAGTTCACGCCGCGGGCATACGACCTCGATCTGGGTCATACGCTCGACATGCGGGCGTCACTCTGCACAATCGACGCATTTCGAAGTGCGTCAGACCACCAAATGGGTCGAAAGGATATCTCCACTCGAGGACATAACTTAGGCGAATTTCGTCACAAAGTAACAGTCGAATACAAGCCTAGCTCGAGGACATAACTTAGGCAAATTTCGTCATAAAGTTACAGTCGAATACAAGCTTAGCTCGAGGACATAACTTAGACAAATTTCGTCACAAAGTAAAACTTAGATACGAGCAAGTTTAAAGTTAAATGAACATCCATTGAAAATTTTATACACAAGACGAGTTAAAAATGGACCGACCAAAAAGGTCGGCGATGTTTAGGGTTACAAGCCATGGCACAACGACCAAAAGAAATAAGCACGGGCACGCAGGCCCCAAAAATGAGCACGGGCATGCAGGCCCCAAAACAAACACCATAAACAGGCACGCAGGCCCGACCAGAAACTCCACACTAAATGTTCCTGGGACTACCGGCATCCACCACAGGAGACTCAGGAGGAGGCACGACCTGGCCATCAATAATCTGAGACATGAACCCCACTCCCTCGGTATTCAGGCCCAGATTTAGTATGGCGAGCTGGCTAACCGCGGCCTCGAATCCATCTGCTAAAGCGCCGACACAGTCTGTCTCAAGGAGGTGGATACGCGCGACCAAATCCGAACGGGTCCGCAAAGGGGCTGTCTCCTCCGACTCATCGTCAGCAGGAAGCATAGCAGCTTTTAGCTCCTCGACTTCCTTAGACAAACGTTCGTTGTCATTCTCCAAGCGTTCCTTGTCCAATTGGAGGCAATCCCTCTCCTCAGCAACATTCTCGGAGTTTTCTTTCTCCCCCGCCAGCAGGTCGGCTTGTTCGCGAAACATTTCCTCAGACCGCTCGAGGGCCGCCTTTAACTTACGAGAACTGGCAGCGAGGGCAGCTTTCTCCGACTCCAACTCCCTGACACGATCCGAGGAGTCCGACCCTTCCTCGGCAAGGACAACGGCCATCTCGGACATCTTTACCATCCCGACCATACTGGCGGCCAGGTGTTTCCTCCGGCTTTCTTTGTCGAGCCGTCTGATAGTCTCAGCCTCGTCATTGCTCACTGTTAGAGGAAACCCCTCGAAGAAATCTTTCTCTTTAAAACAGGGGGTAAGCCGAAGGCCCTCGCAGCCACGGACTCGTCGCCAACCTCCGACCTATTATCAGCCTGACTTCTCTTTCTCGTAATCAACTCGGTGGGCTGTTCAGCGTCAGGGGAGCTCGGGGAACCACTAGAGGCATCGACCGAACTGCCCGCCGGGCCCATCCTCGTGGCTTGTGGAGCTCACACCAGCCTTTTGTTTACTTTCTTGTCCCGAGTCAGTTTCAACAGCCTCTCCCATCGTTCGGCCATGTCGCCTGCAAAGAAGAGCAACACTCGTGTTAGTTGCAAGCAAGCAAAAACAACGAAAATGGAATAAAACAATAATAAAAGCAAAAGCAAGAAACCTAGTAGATCTACGGCCTGCCCGTAAGATTGGCACTCGACGAGCGCCTTAGTGTCGATGGGACGGGCCTCGAATGTCGGGTACCCTTCCTCGTCAATAATATCTTCCCCCTCCCTCGTGACCCACCAGGCAGGGAAGAAGCTGTCGACATATTTGCAAAGGACATCATAGGCCTCTTCGTCCTCGACGCTCATGCTTCCCACGGGCATATGATAGTACCCGATACCATGGTCGTAATGGCCCGAGCACCAATGTATCGGGAATTTGGATATGTGCCCTACTGCCGGACGACCCTCAGAATCCATAAAGGGCTCCCCGTCCTCGTCGACTACCGCAGTTTCTTCTTCGAACAAGGAATCCAGGGCAGTCTGGGTGACCGGTGCAGAACGTACCACTTATCCTTGAAGCCCTAGACTGAATCCATATACATCCTGAACAGCCTCTTCGACTGTTTTAGGGATACCCAGCTATTCCTGCCTCCTCGAGACTGATGCTGCAGGTGAAAAACCCTGAAGAAAAGGGGAATCGTCACCCCGATCCTCAAGAAACGGCATGTCAGCTCGAACGCCTGAAGGAAGGCGATCAAATTAGGGTGAAGCTGCGAAGGGGCTAAGTTCAGATGGCAGAACACCCCGGCTTGAAAATCGCTGAAAGGGAGCTTGAGACCGATATCCCTGAACATGATCTCGTACATAGGAAACCCATACTCGGTAAACTCCGAGAAGATTCACGCATTGGTGGACGGCCTCATCACAACAAAATTCTTCTGGAAACCTGGCGTACTACCGCCATGCTCGACGACAGTATACGCTCTCCGACTATGCCGACAGTACGCCGAGGCAATCCCCTGGGGCTCAGCGCCCACCCAGTCCAACAAGGGGTCATCGATGGTATCAACTAAAGTCACATTCTCTTCGGTACTTTGGTCCTCGACTTCATTTTTCCTCGAAGATTCCGGTTCGTCAGCCATTTACCTGCAAAGCACAGGAAACCGGTGAAATTCGAGAGCAAATCCGCATGCTCGCCACAGTAACGGGAAGTAGTACGCGACAAGCCGAACACGGACACCCCAGCTCGACCAGGCGTCGGGAACAACAAGGGAATGACATGAACACCCCGGGCAATAAACATGGATGACTCGAGCAAGGTCCCGACTTTGCCTGCCCGACACTAAGATGCTACGATGGGCTATCCTACATACTTTCTAAGGGGTCAACATCCCGGCCAGCTCATGGGTGCGCCGACTAAAACTATGAATGTGACGGGCAGTATCATAGATCATATGACTAAAACTATGAATGTGACGGGCAATATCATAGGTCATATGACTAAAACTACGAATGTCACGGGAAGTATCATAGATCATGTGCCTAAAACTATGAAGGTCACGGGCAGCATTGCGAGTCACGTACCTAAAACTATGGGTTTACCGGGCACTATCATGAATCTACCAGGCACTACTCCCAGATATGGGTTTCTAACATCCAAATAACGTCAAAACTACCTACAACAAAGAAAAACATGAGAAATAAGAACTTACTTGGAAGAAAGAAGAACGTACGACAGCGATGGCAGTAATCGGTGGAGGATGGTGCGGTGATCTCACGGCATTGCAGAAAACGACGGCGGCGGAAGCAGAGGAAGAAGGAGAAGCGCGAAGAAGAAAAACAAATTATGGGCCCAAGGATCCTATTTATAGGGATGACGTGGAATACGAAACGTCGCACCAGGGAGCCACAAACTTCTCTGTCCTCGACACCTATTCCCCTAGGCAATGATGACCCTATTGTTGCTAGGGTGGCGCTACAATTCCCAAGGACTGTCTCGTGTATCCAACAAACACAACCCGCGCGGAATCCCTCGAGCACGCATCGACGAGGATTACGCTGCGTCTCCGAGGATTACGCTGCGTCTCCGAGGAGTGCAGCCCGCGAGAAACTCCTCGAGCGCGCGTCGGAAATGCAAACCCGGGTCTGCGCATCAGATCCCTGTGGTAAAGGCGAGCTGAAATCAAGTCATAACTCCTGCCCCAGGAGCAACGACTTGGGGGGCTCCTGTTCTGGACTGGGCCCACCTTGGCCCAAAGCGCAGATAAGGGCCCATTCCAAGCAAACTCCTCGGGGAATGATCACCAGCGGGCCACCACCGACGTGCCCGACAACAAACTGTAGCCACTACGCCCGCCATTGTCCGCGACGCGCAGTGTCCCCGACCAAGGGAACTCCAACTCGAGACCTGCTCGAACACCCTCCCCGTAGGGCAGATTCTGTCCATTCTGACTGTTATCGAATCCTCTAAACTCCAGAAAGACCGCGTCTCCGTCCCTCCTTATTCTTCGCGGAGCACCACCAGGAAGGGGACCACGTGCGGGGCCCCACTACGCACGTAGAACCTAACATCAAAATAAAGAGTGATCTACTTGAGGCGCCTTATTTCCAAACAAGAACTTCAAGTCATTTTCTAAAGGTGTCAAATTCAAGTCCAATTCTAAACACATAACCCTTTTACTATTTGATCTTTTCAAAACTGGATGAGATTTTGAAATCACTTGATAATTCATAGAAGATGAAGAAAACCCTTCATTATTATTTCTATGTCTTCTCATATGTCCACCCAAAGCTTGTCCCAACTTAAATTCTTGTCCACAAATTGAACACTTATGCATTTTAGGTTGCTTATTAACATGATTATTTCCTTTGAGGGTTTGTTCTCCTTCACGTTTGAGTTTCTTGTGACTTGTCCTATGACCACCAAGTGCTTGAAAAGATGAGAACTTGCGATTGCATGTTTTGCACTCAAACTCAATTTGAGAATATGTTTTGTTGTTTTCGTGTTGTTGGATACGATGAGAAGAGAGTAACATTAGACTTGTTGCTAAATCTATGCTCTCTTTTTCTACTTCATTTTCTCTTTGTCTCTTCATCATGAGAATGTTTAACGATATGGTTTGGTTAATGGAAGAACACTAAAGAACTTGTATTTATATAGAGGTAAAGTCAAAAGAGAAAACGTGGGATCCAAATAGATGTTTTGCATTGTTGAGAAACCGAGTGAACAAAACTTAAACACTAAGCTACTTATTTCTTGTACAAGTTGTTGGAAATCTTGGAATGATGATAACTTGGATTGGGAATTGGAATGATTCATTGACATTAAATGGGCAATAAATGAGCACATGAATGAACTAGTTTGTGAGTGAATTTGAAAGGATTCATTTAAGTCCCACATTGGAGGGAACACAACTTCTAGTAGTGCATAAATACTCCAACTTGGACACTTGGGTTGGGCCCCAAGGGGCACCCCAATTTTGTTAAGGAGTGAGGACACACCACTAAGTCATCTAGACACGCGCGCGCGCCGCCGCCGTCCGACCGGCTCGGCTCGGTTCGGTCTAGATGAATTAATTTTTGAACCGGATTTTGGTGAAAAATTAATTATTAATGATTATTAATAATTAATTAATTCGGTGGAATTAATTAGCATTAATTAATTAAAAATAGTGGAAATTAATTAATATTTAATATTAATTAATTACGGAATTAGTGACGTGTCAATTACTTGCCTTCCAAGAGTCAAAACGCATGACTGTCTGACCAAGCAATAACAGTTACTTTTGACTGGGCCAATTCCACCCTCTCCCACGTTCTTCCTATTTTTTCGAACCGTTTTGTTGAATTAGTGCTTATTTCATTTGCAAATAACTCCAGAATTCATTATCTCGATATCTCACGCTTCTCTCTCTCTGTTCTGCTTCATCTCAAATATTTTCTACTCTGTTTTTCCGACTGCTTCTTTGCAGATACTACGAGTGGTTTCTACACCATCAGAAGGTGTTATTCATCGAACGATTTATCACAGTGCAAGTGATAATCGTATTTTATTCGAACGGGCTGTTTTATCCTGGAGACGTCGCCTATTATCGACTGCCTTGCACTTTGTTGGCATCCGGCGAAACGTCTTAAAGAAAGCGTACCGAACCGCGACTCGACCCGATAAATTTCTCAGTGGCTATTCTTTTTTTTTTAATCACTAATCCGTGAACAACAATTTTAAGACGTTTGCCTTAACTGCCATGGCTACTGAGGAAATTATCGGTAATAATGCGGTCGCTGCTGTCACTGACAAACCATTTAAGTTTGAGGGTTCTCATTTTAAACGTTGGCAAGCTAAGATGAGATTTTTCTTAACTATCAAGAAGGTTGCCCACGTTCTGACTGAGGATATCCCTGTTGTTCCTTCTGGATCAACCGAACAAACTGATCCTGCGACAATTGTAACTTCTGACAAAGCTCTCAGCTCTGCTGAAGCACAAGCTGCTGCAAAAGCCAAAGTCGCAGCAGATGATTTACAGCTTCGAAAAGAAATTGCCATATGGCAAGAGAATGACTACCTATGCAAAAATCACATTCTTAACGGTCTTGCTGATGACTTGTACGATTACTACAGTAATTACAACAGTGCTAAAGAAGTGTGGGAAGCTCTGCAGAAGAAATATGATACTGAAGAAGCAGGCGCAAAGAAATATGCTGTCAGCCGCTACTTGAATTACAAGATGGTGGATGAAAAGTCTGTGGAAACTCAAAGCCACGAAATTCAGAAAATTGCTCATGAAATCATAACTGAAGGTATGCCCCTAAATGAACAATTTCAAATTGCTGTTATTATTGACAAACTGCCCCCTGCTTGGAAAGATTTCAAAAATATGCTTCGCCATAAAACCAAAGAATTCTCCATCGAAAGTTTGATTACTCGCCTCCGAATTGAAGAGGAAGCTCGAAGACAAGATCAGAAAGATGAAGTCTTAGTTGTTTCTAACAACAAAAAGAGATTCGGTGCGGTTCTGAAGCCTACGGGCAAACCATTAAAGAATCAGAACCGCAATGCTGTGAACCGAATTAAGAATGGGAATCCCTCTAGGGCCCCAAATGCTCCACTTGCTAGGCAGCAACCACCACCACAGAGAAATGATGCTCCGGTTTTCACTTGCTACAATTGTGGGAAACCGGGTCACATGGCAAAAAGGTGTAAGAGCAGGCCTAAACCTGTTGTTGGCTCAAATGCTCAGGTTAACCTGACTGATGAGCAATTCATTGCTATGATCACTGAAGTCAACATGGTTGGTGGAAGTGATGGTTGGTGGATAGACACTGGCGCCTCTCGTCATGTCTGCTACGATCGTGCTATGTTCAAAACATACATGAATGCTGAAGATAAGAAAGTGTTGTTGGGAGATGCTCACACCACTAAGGTTGCTGGAATTGGGGATGTTGAGCTGAAATTCACCTCAGGAAAGACTTTGATCTTGAAGGACGTCATGCACGTTCCTGAAATTAGGAAGAATCTTGTTTCTGGCTTTCTTTTAAATAAGGCAGGGTTTAGTCAAACTTTAGGGGCAGATTTGTACACCATCACTAAGAATGGTATTTTTGTTGGGAAAGGGTACGCCACTGATGGCATGTTTAAGTTGAATGTTGATTTTAATAAGATTTCTCCTTCTGTTTACTCTTTGTGTGATTTTAATATTTGGCATACTAGACTTTGTCACGTTAATAAGCGAATTATGCATAATGCAAGCAACTTGGGCCTAATCCCTAAATTAAGTATTAATGATACAAATAAATGTGAATATTGTAGTCAAGCAAAAATAATCAAGACTTCGCATAAATCAATTAATAAGGAATCTGATCCCCTAGATCTTATACATTCTGATATATGCGAATTAGATGGAAGTTTAACTAGAAACAATAAACGTTATTTTATCACTTTTATTGATGATTATTCAGATTATACTTATGTATACTTAATGAAGAATAAAAGTGAAGCGCTTGAAATGTTTAAGATATATGTAACTGAAATTGAGAATCAACTTAGTAAGAAGATTAAGAGACTTCATAGTGATAGGGGGACTGAATATGATTCTGGTTTATTTAATGATTTTTATAAAGAACATGGAATTGTACATGAAACGACTGCTCCATATTCTCCTGAAATGAATGGTAAAGCAGAAAGAAAGAATAGGACTCTTACCGAACTAGTTGTTGCAATTATGATAAATTCTGGTGCTGCTCCTCACTGGTGGGGGGAAATTTTATTGACTGTTTGCTACGTCCTGAATAGAATCCCCAAGTCAAAAAGTAAGATCTCACCATATGAGATATTAAAGAAAAGACAACCAAACTTGTCTTATTTGAGACCTTGGGGCTGCCTGGCTTATGTCAGAATTCCGGATCCGAAACGAGTTAAACTCGCTAGTAGAGCATATGAATGTGTATTCATTGGGTATGCAGCAAACAGTAAGGCATATAGGTTCTATGACCTAAATGCAAAAGTAATCATAGAATCAAATGATGTTGAATTCTATGAAGACAAATTTCCTTTCAAACTGAGAAATAGTGGGGGCACCCAATCGAGTCACATTCCTGTGATAAGAAGTGCAGAAAACAACAACGAAGTAGAAACAAAACTTCGGAGAAGTAAAAGAGTAAGAGTCGCTAAAGACTATGGGCCTGATTATGCGGCTTATAATATAGAAGAAGATCCAATAAATCTTCAAGCAGCATTGTCATCTCTAGATGCAGATTTATGGCAAGAAGCTATAAATGATGAGATAGAATCCCTAGATTCTAACAAGACATGGCACTTAGTAGACTTGCCTCCTGGTTGCAAACCGATCGGTTGTAAATGGGTTCTGAAAAAGAAACTAAAACCTGATGGAACTATTGATAAATACAAGGCTCGCCTTGTAGCCAAGGGTTTTAGACAAAGAGAAAATATAGATTTCTTCGACACTTTCTCTCCAGTCACTAGAATCACATCCATTAGGGTACTTATTTCAATTGCTGCTATTTATAACTTAATAGTACACCAAATGGATGTTAAAACAGCTTTTTTAAATGGTGACTTAGAGGAAGAAATCTATATGGAACAACCAGAAGGGTTTGTGATCCATGGACAAGAAAACAAGGTTTGTAAGTTAGACAAGTCTCTATATGGACTAAAACAAGCCCCTAAGCAATGGCATGAAAAATTTGATAACTTAATGATATCAAATGGATATAAAGTGAATGAAAGTGACAAATGCGTTTATTACAAATCTGAGAATCGCATTTGCACTATCATATGTCTTTATGTAGATGATCTACTTATATTTGGATCAAACATTCAGACTATTAATGATGTGAAATCTTTGTTGTGCAACAACTTTGATATGAAAGACCTGGGAGAAGCAAATTTAATCCTCGGTATCAAGATCACGAGATCCAAACAAGGAATTTCTTTGGATCAATCACACTATGTGGAAAAGATCTTAAAGAAATATAATTACTTTGATTGTAAACCTGCTAGCACTCCATACGATCCAAGCATGAAACTGTTTAAGAACACTGGTGAAAGTGTTAAACAGACAGAATATGCAAGTATCATTGGAAGTCTTAGATATGCTACTGATTGTACTAGACCTGACATTGCATATGTCGTGGGATTATTGTGCAGGTTTACTAGTAGACCAAGTAATGAACATTGGCAAGCTATTGAGCGAGTCATGAGATATCTTAAAAAGACTGTGAACCTCGGTTTACATTATCAGAGATTTCCTGCTGTACTTGAAGGATACAGTGATGCTGATTGGAATACTTTGTCAGATGATTCCAAAGCTACTAGTGGCTATATATTTAGTATAGCCGGAGGAGCTGTATCTTGGAAATCAAAGAAACAGACCATTCTGGCTCAGTCCACAATGGAGTCTGAAATGATAGCACTAGCCACAGCTAGTGAAGAAGCAAGTTGGTTAAGATGCTTGCTAGCTGAGATTCCCATATGGGAAAAACCTATGCCAGCTGTGTTGATCCACTGCGATAGTACCGCGGCTATTGCAAAAATTGAGAACCGTTATTATAATGGTAAAAGACGTCAAATAAGAAGAAAGCA